TATATATATATATAAATAATGTGGAATAAATTTGTGAAATTGGCCTTTATTTCTTTGTGCCAGTCCTCTGACCCATGTTAATCATCTAGGAAAAACTATTCCTTTACTCTTAAGTTTTCAGTTACATTTGGTGTTGGGACTGTGAACCTATGTAAAATAGATTAAGAAGTTTGGAAAACACTATGTTTATTTATATTGATTTTGTTTTCTACCTGAGTGTTAGACTGAGGGTTCCCATTTACTTGAGCCCATCTGAATGAATGGCAGCAAATATGGTGGGGGAAACTAGCTTATTTATAATTCATATATAGAAAAAACACTAATACAAATCTTTATTTTAGTTTTCTTACCTTCAGTTTATAGAGCAGTGGTCTTCTCCAACTTTTTTAAGCACAAGATCACTTTTTGAATTTAAATGCGATCCAGAATCTACTTCAAACCCAGATACCATTTCCCTCCCTCCTTTGTGCCCCTTCTCTGAGGTCCTGGTCTCTCTCACTTCATCCTCCCTCTCTCCTTTCTCCATTCTCCCTCCCTTTCACGAGGCAGAGGGTTGGGACACAGGCTCTAGTCTTGTGCTAATGGATTTGGAGTGGTGTTTACTAGCTGGTAACTCCTTCAGAAATCAGTTGCTTAACAAGGAGTGGTTTCTGGTCTTAAAAAAAAAAAAGACACATCTTGTATCTGGGTAAGAGACTCTTGTTTCTCCTTTTTAGAGGATGCTTTTTGTATATAAATAGTGCCATATTCTGATAAAGTAGTGTCTAATTTTTAATAAAATCAAATAGTGTTAAAATATTGGCTTTGTGTTTTGGCGATGTTTAGCCTCACAAGCCCAGGCGTAGTAAAACATCACATTGGTGATAAAGAGGTATCCTAGTTTTCTGTAATAAGTCAAAACTCTTTCATTTAAGAAAAAATGCATTTTTCTACAATTAAAATGAATCTCAGAACTTTAGTTTCTCTAGACACAATAATATAGGCATCACTGAACACAGTTTTATTGGTGTACAGTAGAACCCCATTTATCCAAGACTCTGTTATCTGGTTCTCTGTATTAATCGAACCACCAGCTGCTTGGGACTAACAGTGGCTGAGCCTCCAACTATCAGCACTGCCTGCAGCTGAATGCCGGAGCCCCCTACTCATCTTAACATAAAGGTTAGAAAGCTCTTTACTGATTCACCCAATATTTGGTTATCCAATCTGGCCCTGGTTCCAATTGAATCATATGAAATGTAAAAACTAAAGGGTCTCTATAAAAATGCAATTTGCATTTTTCCACAGGAAGCTGTTTTTAGGATCCCTTGATGAAAAACATGTAAGCCTTCATAAGGAAAACAGTTCTGTACTGTGCTAACTTGTCATAGATGACAGAGTACATTCTAAGAAACAATCATGACTCTTTGTCCATCCCCCCCCCCCCCCCAAAAAAAGCAAAATGTTCAGGAAGAAATGCATTATCTTATGAACCCTCTTGTTTTCAAAATGTTGTCAGAGTATTCATTCTTGTAGACTGGTCCTTTCAAGTGTTGCATTTTAGTTTTTACAGAAGTATAGTTGTTTACCCCTCTCCTTTGCTTGATTTATTTCAGCTGATGGTAACAGCATGAACTTTGTAGTAGGACTTAGTCTAATAAAGACAAATATTTTATATTTTATCTTGTTCTGTCCAGTTTTTAAAATTCATTGTAAGTACACATGTATATGTCTTTTTCATTTTGTTGAGAAGTCCATGAGTTGATTGGCATAAATGGAAGTTATGGGTGCCCTCTATGTGCTAATGTACTTTCCAGAGGCCTGTTTTGTTGGTAAATATAATTTACTTTTAAGATCTGTGTTCCAAAATATGTTCAGAAATGTAATTGTGTCTTCAAACTTGTTCATTTTATTTTACTTTTCAGGAAGAAAAAAGCATTAATTGATCCTTCCTTGTTCAAGTACAAAGTCCAGCCTATTAAAAAAGAACTATATGAATCTGTTACTGTAAAAGCATCTCAGATAAGGTAAAAATACTTTTGTCATATTGTCCTTTTACATTAATTAGAATTGTGCTAGAATTATGCACTGTATTGTCTTCACTATGAGCATATAGTGCATGGTAAGATTATGTTTGATCAATTTAATACTTAGTTTTGCTTCAGCTTTTTAGGTGAGTGTTAAATACATAGTAAAACCTTCTGTCTCTGCCCCATTAATCTTGTGTTTTATTTCTGTAATATTTATAAACTGTGTACATGTTAGCTATATTGACTTTAAATAGTTTGAAACTGGGGAGCTGAGTTCTGCTGTCATTTTTTTAACAGTTGGCATTTTAACAGGTTGTAACTGTTGCTTTCTAAAATGGAAGGTTTTTTTAATAGCCTCGTTCAAAACTGAGATGTTTAAAATAAAAAAATCTTTAAGAGTAAATTGTGCATCAGCTTTCATAGTGTGAAATCGCAGTTATTCTGTGGTTGGACTGCCCTGGTCCCGTGCCCTTGGGACCTGAGTGGTCCTGAAGGACGGATTTTGTCAGACCAGGGGAGGTGATTCCGGGCCCCCCCAGCCTGGTTCGATCCTGGCTCGCTCCCCAGCTGCCACCAGCCCTGGTCCTCTGCCACAGCAACTACTGGTCCTGCCACTGGGACTCTCAGCTCTGCTGTAACAAACTACTGCTCCACTGCCAGTGCTCCTGGCCCCGCCAGCCATGCTGTGACAGCACATTCTCCTCCAGCCTCCGCCCTCTCCCACTTCTCTCCCCTTCCGAACCATGGATGTTGCTGGACAAGGGTGTCCTGGTTGAAAGAGGTGCAGCCCGTAGTGATATTTGATCTGTTAACACATACTCATTCTGGGACTAAATTATTTATACTGTAACCAATAATCAGAAATACATGTAATAAGAAAAATATTGAGGATGGAAGGGAAGGTCTTGTGGTTAAAACATTGGGCTGTCATTTGAGACACCTGGATTCAATTGCCAGTTGTCACAGACTTGTGTGACAATAGGCAAGCCATTTAATCTTTGTCCTTGACTCAGTAGTTTCTCTCTGTTCAACAAGCACTTGCTTAATTTTAAATGATAGATATAAACGTACTTTAAATGCTTTGCTGAATTAGGGCCTTTGTACCTTACTTTGCCATCTGTGAACTGAGACTACAAACATTTCTTTTGACTATCTCTTTAGTCTGGTTTAGGTTGTAAATAAATCTTCAAATCAGGTGTTGTCTCTTGTTGACAAGAGTGTGTACAGTACATAGTACAGTGGGGCTCCCGTCTTGGGTGAGACCTCTAGAGCAGCGGTTCCCAACAGCCGGGCTGTAGCCACTGCTGGACTCTGGGGGCTGGGGCACACTGCTCTCTCCTTAGCAGTTGGGAGAGGCATGTCCTGCCCCGCCTCTCAACCAACCAGCGCTGAGCAGGGGCGGGGTCTCCTCCAGCCACAGAAAAGCACTCTTCTGTGTGGTAGGAGGGCTCTGTGCGGCCCTCCCGCTGCATAGGGATGCACTTTTCTGCAACTGGAGGAGTTCCGCCCCTGCACAGTGCTGATTGTCTGAGAAGTGGGGCAGGACATGCCTCTCTCAACAGCTGTGGTGGGAGGGAAGGTGCTGGCTGTTGGCTCTGGGGGCCAGGGCACACTGCAACGCTGGCAACAGCCCAGGGCTATGTGAAAGGGGCGAGGCTAGTGCTGGGGGGCTCTGGAGGCTGAGGTAGTAGTGGGGGGGAGGGTGCTATGATGGCAGGGCTGGCACTGGGGGTGCTGTAGGGATGGGGGCTAATACTGGAGACTGGACTGAGGGGTCTCTGGCGGGGGTTGGGTGCACTGGTGCTCTAGAAATAGGAGGGGGCTGCCACTGGGGGTCTCTGACGATGGGAGGCTGGCACTAGGGAGGGTTGGGTTCAGGGGACTTTGGGGTCAGTGGCTGTGGGTGGGGGAGGTAGTGGAAGGGTGGGGGACTTCAGGGCTTAGGGCTGGCACTAGGGATTCAGAGTAAGGATGTTAAATATCGACTAACTGACTAATCGACTAGTTGATGCACTTCAAAGGCGAAAGCACTGCGTGGAGCCTGGGCTCCATGTGGCACTGCCACTTTGAAATCCCTGGCTCCGTTTGGCCCTGCTGCTTTGAAATGCTGGAAGGAGCCTGATTCCCCGTGGCATTTCAAAGTGGCAGTTCCGTGTGCAGCCCGGAGTCAGCGGGGGAGTCCCCCGTAGATCCTGAGCTCCATGGGGCACTGCTGCTTTGAAACCTGCTGCTTTGAAACCCTAGCAGGCTCTGGGCTGCATGCAGCGTTTCAAAGCAACAAGTGGGGGGGAAGCGACTGGTTGTCTAATGTGTCGACTATCTGACTAGTCCTTCACATCCCCTAGTTCAGAGGGTTGGGCTTTTGGCAGATTGGTAACATTTCATTTGCATATTCATCATTTGCATAATGAACATGCAAATAAAATCTTACCAGTCTGCCAAAAGTTTGTGAATGGGTTTGCTGGTGTCTGGTGTCAAAAAGGTTGGGTACCACTGCTCTAGAGTCCATTGCAGAACAAATAACTTACATTATTTTTGTTTAATATTGGAAGGAAATCTGCAGGGCCAGTTATAGAAATGGTTTTTATGTGTAGATACAATTGCATGCAATCACTTGCTCTTTCTACCCACATTTTTAAACCAGAAAAATCATGCAATTTAAAACAAGTCAGAGCCTGGATATATTAAAAATATATATTTGGGTATAACTTAACATTTTTATGTGGAAATCTTGATTCTCATTACAACTGAGCACAGTAAGAATACTAATTTAAAACTTTACTGAGAAAATAACAGAAGGCAGAAATCATGAGACACTCTGTTCGTGTTTTTATCTGAAGTCTGATCTGTAAATTTACCTTAGTTATAAGTGAATGTAGATTTACGTGAGTTGGTAATGTTGCTTTTCTTTTTAAACATCATAGCCGGAGGAAACATCTCTTTTCTCGTGATAGACTTAAACTTTTTTTGAAGCAACACTGTGAACCACATGATGGAGTCATTAGAACTAAGGTAAACAAGTGGCTAAATTGTAGCAGAGAGAGTATTTATAATCTAAGGTATGACTATATGAACTCATCGTATTTCCTCTTCTCAGACTTTTACTGAAAGGAGGGTTAGCAGCTCTCATTATAAAGTCGTGGTGTTATAATAATTATAAATAGGTAAAAATTTTAGTAGGTTTGCTGCTTTCATCAGTCAAACTGCACAGCTGATCTGTTCTTTAAGCTATATAAGATTCAGCAAGACATCAGTTAGTATCACTCTGTTGTAATCGTGTTGCCAGTAGGGGAGTTAAGAAGTGGGTATTGCACTAATTGTATAGTCAATAGATTTTTTTTTTTTAATTACACGATTAGTCGAGAAGGGAAGGTGCTCAGTCCTGGTCATGCTGGGTCTGGGAGCTTCCCCTGCTGCAGCTCTGCAGTTGAAATGTAGTAAGAGCCAGCTGGGCAGGCAGCCCAGCTCCTACTACATTTAAATTGCCGAGCTGCAGGTGGGAGTAGCTCCCAGACATGAGGCGAGCTTGTTCAGTCCCAGCTTGCACTAGATCCAGCAGCCCCTGTGTGCGTGGTGTCCCAGTGTGAGGCTGGGGACCCCCCCCCCACGTGGGGCTGCTGCTGGAGCAGCCTCTGCCTGTGGCGAGCCTGGGCCTACCATGGGCAGAGGCTGCTTTACGACAATCTCCCTCATTCCCTCCCCTTCAGGCTGCTGCCTTTGATAGAGGCAGCAGTGTGGGGCAGGGGCAGGTGGCACCGTGTAGATGATGCTGGAAAGAATTGTCTTTTAAGCTGTCTCCCTCCCCTCCCCCTGAACTTGCTGCCTCTGATACAGCAGTAACCAGGTTGGGGGTGTGCATGCGTGCACGCATGTGAATAGTCAATTACCTGATAAGCCTAGGCTTATCGGCTATTTGACTAGTCGACTGCTTGCTTACATCTCTAATTTCCGGTAGGGATATTAAAATGTGTTTAATTATGTAACTGCTGAAAATTTCAGTGGTTACAAGGTTTTTTCAGAATTTTAAAGGTTTGTGGTGAGATTCTGTGCTGTGTCTCTTAGACATGCAACATGAAATTCACAATGTAGGGGTCTAGGTTACCTGCCAATCCTGTGCTCTTCTATGGCTGAAGAGGCCCTCTGTGTAATTAGGCATCCAGGGCTGTCTAAGTTATGGCAATTGTTTTCCTGCCCTTTTTCCTTCCTGTAGCACTACTCTGAACCTCTGCAGTACTGTGCTGATTTTACTCTGGATATATCCTTTTCAGCCCCACACATGCCTTTGTAAGCAAGAAGTCCTTGGAAGGTAGCCTAATAGCTGTTTCCCACTGTATGCTTGTGCTGGGTGAATCCTTTCCTGGACACATGTGGATCTAGGGCCTTTTTATGTGACGTAAAGGGACCAGAATGAGGGTTAGACTTATCTCTGAATTATAGTCTTGGCAGTGATATAAGTGAAACACAAATTTGAAACACAAGTTAGTTCAAAATGAATTTATAGTTTTTAAAGTTTTCATGTACATTATGTTGAAGCCAAGTTCTCCTTTAGGCACATGTGCATTACATTCGGTAGAAGCTGCAAGAATAATTTGAGATCTCAATCTCTTACTCTGTATTTTTACCAAGTAATTCAGCATTTGAACCATTGTGGAAGAGAATTATTTTTCTTCAGTTAACAAATATTCATCTAATAACTTTTTGTCTTTCTGAAAGCATGGTTTCCTAATCACATAACTTCATAACAAATATCTATATTTTCGTATTCTTGTATTAAGGCAATGTCAGTTGCAAAATACAAGATAGCAGAACAAGATTTTTCCTACTTCTTCCCTGATGACCCACCCACATTTATCTTCAGTCCTGCAAACAAAAGGCGGGGGAGGCCTCCAAAGAGGGTATCTATTAGTTGTGTAAGTAATAATAAAAATGTTCTGTTAAGATACTTTCTTCCATTACAGATTAGACGGATTCCAAACACATTCTTGTTGAATATTGCAGCCCTGTAGAATCTTCTTTTCCTAACTTTTGGGGCAAAAATTTAAGATTTAAAATTGAACTACTTCTGTCTTGAAAATAAATTGGGGAAATGTATGACCTCTTGTATATCTGGAATAAAAGTAGATCTTGTCTTACATTTGGGGCCAAAAACAGAGTAAACATGATGATTAACCTTTTTAATTTCAGCAGTTGGTGGAAAAAGAAGTAAAGATAAATGGTTCTGCCATCCATGAATGTAGCAAAAAATTAGCTTTCCAATGTAATTAGAGCAGGGTGCAAGTAGTGTCTTGTACAATAAAACTATGTAGTTCTCAAGCACAGGTAATGTGTTCCTAATTACACAGGATTCTAAAACAACTTAAAATTCTTAATTTATTAATTATTAAACTGCAGCTAATATTCTTGGTCTTCCCCTTTATTAGACAAATACCTGAAAAATAGTGTGCTTCAGTGTGAAGAAGTGAAGTACAGTTACTGTTTGTTTATACAGCTCTTGAAAGAATGCGATGAACTGCAATGTATTTTTCCCACCATAGATGCTGTGCTCTTTTTCCAGGAGGACAAGATTGCTAATAAACAAAATACTCCAGGAAATAGAAGTAAAGTGGCACAGGAAAGGGCAAGATTCCAGAAACAGAAAGAAGAAATGCAGGCCATGGGTAAGTTCAGGCCTTCTATGATTATTAAAGCCAATTCCTGAAGACCCAAGAGCTGACTGTAATAATGGCATTTTGGATAACTGTCTTTTTTAAATGAAAATTGTAATGACTTCCAGTGCCATTAAATAGGATTTGTTTCAATGATTGGGGTTGCTCCCAGCAATGTGATTCCCAAGGTGTCCACACTGGCAAGTCACTTAGTGTGCACTAATTTGCACTTGCTGTGCTGGAGGTAAACCACTTTGAGGAACATAGAGGTGCAGTACTAGCTTCAGCGACGAAGTGTCCCTCCATGTCTTCAGAAAAAGTGAATGCAAAGGCCAGAACATACCCGGCCAAATCCTTGCCTCCAACACCGAGTGCTTCTAGAGCTAGCACTGATAAGCCCAGCATCTCCAACACCCTGCTGGCAAAGGATAGTGCATCACACAAATGTGTGCATTTCTAACCAAGGCACAAGTCCTTGGCACCGACATCAGCACCAGTACCTGATGCGGCAGTGAAGACCATGCCAAAACTGGAACCAAAGATGGCACTAAAGCCTCCCCATGCTGACATGCTGCCTCCGCGGGCACCAGCACTGCCCCTGGAAGCACTCAAAAGTGCACTGAGGCACTGACTGAACAAACGCAGACTGACACGTGGTGCTGCCTGCATCTTCAGCACATTCAGTCTATTCCCCCGATCCCTGGCACCATCCATATGATTCAGTGAGGCAGTTATGAGATCAGAGTACATTTTCTTCCAAACACTCCTCCTCAACTCTGAAATGCCCTCCCTGGGAATCGTGCTTGACCAGATCCACCTATGTGCCTCCTTCTCCACACTGGTATGGACATCATTGGCCATACTCCCCACCTCCACACCTGGGTCAATGGCCCCCATGGATGCATGGTTGACTTGCAGAAGTCACCACACTGCACCTTCAACTCCTGCAAAAAGAGCTGCTAAATCTCCTTCGCTCCAAAGTCGTGACACTGTGCCTGACTCCTCAGAACTACCTCAGTCAGAAGAGGAGCAGCCCATGTCTGAGAAGGATGACCAATCTCCCCCTCAACTCTTCTTCATCCCCGGATGAAGCGATCATTCCCACAACCCCGAACACTAAAGCAGTTTCAGGAGCTATTCAAACATGTGGCCAAAGTGTAGTAAATAGGTCTCCAGGAGGTGCATAAGAAACAGCATAGACTTTTCTGCATGTTATAGCCTCCCACATAATGTAAGATAGCATCAGCTGGGTCAAGTATGGCTTTGTCCATGAGGAGAGCTATCTGGCAGACACCCAGGTCAGCTATGCCCATAAACAAAAGGGAAAATAGAAAATACTTTGTCCCTGCCAAGGGTATGGATTTTCTGTTCTCCCAGTACCTTGGTGGTGGGATGCTGTACATCATAGAGCCAAGTACCTGTAATTCCAATCCACACCCTAGCATAAGGACCATAAGTGTCTTGATATACTTGGCAGGAAGATTTGCGCTACCCGTGTGGTTAATTACTCAGCAGTCCTAGCCAACTATGAAAACAAACTAATTGAAACTCCAGCACCTCATGCAATTCCTCACAGAGCAGAAATGCCCCTAGCTTCAGGCCATAATTCAGGAGGACCACACTGTTGCCTGCATGTCACTCCAGGCAGCTCTCAATGTGGCAGACACTGCGGCATTTAGCACTGCTACTGCAATTGTAATGCAGAAAGCTTCATGGCTCTAAGCCTCGGGTGTACTGAGGGAATTCCAACTAAAAGTAGATGATCTACTATTTGACAAGTCACCTCTCTTTGCCGGTAAAACCTGAGTTTTACACACTATGAAGAATTTGTGTACCACTCTCAGGACATTAGGGATGTATACTCTGCCAAACAAGCATCTGCGGTACAAGGCCCATATCCAAGGCCACGTGAGTTATACAGACCCTATGACTTTAGAGAGAGACAACAATAAATGCAGACCACAGTGACAACAATAATCTAACACTAACCATCCAAGCAGCAAACGTGAAGGTTTGGTCAGGTGCTTGAGCAATATCTCCATCATACCACCTTATATACCGTCCAACCTTCAATTCACCCACCAACTACGGCCCTTTTTCCAACTCTGGACTGAGATAACTTCACCCACCAACTACGGCCCTTTTTCCAATTCTGGGCTGAGATAACATCTGACCGGTGGGTTCCAGAGATTCTCAGTTTGGGTTATTCCACCCCTTTCGTGTCCATTCCCCCCACGGAATCACCCTTCCCTGTCCATTTTCAGGGACCCCTCTCACAAGAATCTTGTTACAACTGGAAGTTCAACATCTGCTACAAATGGGGGCCATAGAATCAGTCCTTTTGGCCTACCAAGGAAGAGTTCTATTCCAAATACTTACTCGTGCAAAAGAAGTTGGTTGGTGTGGTTGAGACCCGTACTAAATCTCAGAAAACTCAACAAGTATGTAGCAAATTGAAAGTTCAAAATGGAACCATCATACTGGTGTTAAATACTGGAGATTGTTGCTCAGCCCTTGACTTCCAAGATGCTTACTTTCACATAACTCTCCATCCAGAACACAGATGACTCCTACTTTTTATGGTAGGCACCTAGCGATACCGTGTTCTCCTGTTTGGCTTATCAACAGTGCTGAGAGTCTTCTCCAAAACCTTGGAAGAAGCAGCGACACACTTCCACCGTGCAGGAGCGATAATTTTACCCTACTGAAACGACTGTCTTATCAAGGGCATATCCTGCCATAATACACAGAATATAGTCAATACTTCCATTGCTCTCCTACTCAGCTTTGGGTTCCATATCAACTACCAAAAATTCACACTGCAGCCCATGCAGACTCTCGAATTTATAGGAGCTGGACTAGACTCCATCACAGCCAGAGCAACACTGCCCAAACACGGATTTGAGTCCCTCACCACCCTCAAATACAGTACAAGCTTCAACAGTTACAACAGTACACAGCTGTCTCCAAATACTTGGCAACATAGTGGCCACAACGTATGTTGTCACACTAGTACAACTCCATATGAGGTGCCTCCAAGTACGTGTACACACACACACACACACACAGAGAGAGAGAGAGAGGGAGAGGGAGAGGGAAAAAATATATGAATATCATCCCATGTCCTTTCCTCACTACATTGGTGGACACTGCTGCACAACATAGTTGAGGGCATCCCATTTCAACAACCTTCCCCAACTATAACCACGGACGCCTCCTTTATGGGCTGGGAAGCACACCTGACTCCCATATAGTACAGTAAACTTCCGATAATCCCGCACCTTTAGGACCCAGGGGGTGCCGGATTATCAAATATGCCAGACTATCGGAAGGGGGGGCTATGAGGGGTCTGGAGTGGGGTGGGAGGGGATGCCACTCCAGACCCCTCATAGTCCCCCCTTACGATAGTCAGGCTCTGCCCCAGGAGTCCCTGATTCAGCCGCTGCTGGTCAGTTTCACAGCAGCTGAGCGGGGGGTCTGCGGGGTTGGTCCCGCAGCGCCGAGGGGTGGCGCTATGGCACCAACTCAGCAGCACTGCAGCAGCTGAATGGAGGAAGCCTGTCCAGCTGCCCCAGCACTTGCGGGTTCCTGATGGTGCCGGACCATCAGGAGTCCCGGAGCATTGGATGCCGGACTAATGGAGTTTTACTGTATGGGCAAATGGTCCTACCAAGAAACCAAACTCCATGTCAACCTCCTAGAGTTAAGAGTGGTATGCTACACATGCCATCATTTTCTTCCGCGCATCAAGAACAAGATTATCTGCATCCCACCATACAATACATCATGCATGTATTATATCAACTGTCAATGAAGAGCACGGTCCAACTCGCTCTGTACTGAGGAAATTAAACTTTGGAACTGTTGCATTCGGCACCGGATTGCACCTATAGCAGTCTACCTACCGAGAGCACTCAATGTTACGGCAGACAAACTCAGCCATCTATTCTCAGATCAACATGAGAGTGAACTGGATACAATAGCCCTCTAAAAAGTGTTCTGCAAGTGGGGTCAACCCAACATTGACCTCTTTGCCCCCTGGTCCAACCGTAAATGCCACTGACTTTGGTCCAGGGCAGGCCTGGGGAAGGGATCCCTAGGTGACGCATTTCTCCTGAAATGGGAAGCCCCACTCCTGTATGCATTCCCACTGCTACTCCTGATCCAGCAGGTTCATGAAGATCTGACAGGACCAAGCATGGGTCATCCTAGTAGTGCCATTGTGGTCCAGGCAGACCTGATTCCTGTACCTCAAACAACTGACAGTCTTCACTCCCTACACACTCCTGTCATGTTGCAACCTTCTAACCCAACATCACAGCTGTACTCTCTATCCAGACCTAGTAACACTTCATCTCAAGGACTGGCGCCATCATGGCTCCATGATGCCGAAACGTCCTGCTCTGACAGGATAAAACAAATACTAAATTGACAGTTGACAAGCCTTAACCCTTTTAAGGCTCTTTTAAAAAAGAGTGTCTAGACTACAATCAGTACTTTTGAAAAAGCAAGCTGCTTTTTCGAAAAAGAGCAACCAGGCAGTCTGGATGCTCTCTTTTGAGAAAGCACAGTTTGCATTACACAGCGCTTTTTTTTTTTTTTTGAAAGAGCACTTTCAAAAAAAGGCGTTCTTCCTCATAAAACGAGGTTTTCCCTGGTCGAAAAAACTGCCACGTTCTTTTGATTTACTTTCAAAAGAACGCAGCAGCAGTCTAGATGCAGGGGAAGGGTTTTTTTGGCTTTTTTGTTTTTTTCGAAAAGCCACTTTTTTTGAAAAACCCTGTAGTCTAGACATACCCTCTGTTGGACATTGTGTCTTCTCCACTGTCTCTGGGACACAGCTCCAAAATCTGCATCCACAAGACGGACACTGCTCTTTAAACACCTAAAGTGGAGCACCAACGGGGACATCACTTGAAGAAGAAGAAAGAGTTACCTTGTGAAATAACGAAGGTTATTCGAGATGTGTCCCCCTGTGGGTGCTGCACTGCTCCCTCTCCACCTGTACTTTGGAACCTCCTTCAGGGCTATAACCAAGGTAGAGAAGGAATGGAGGTGTGCTGCATGTGCAATCAATGAACACTAATGGCGTGAGGGGACACTACTATACGAACCTCCTTCAGGGCTATAACCAAGGTAAAGAAGGAATGGAGGTGTGCTGCAGTGGTGTGACAGGGCACTGCAATGCTAGAAAAGATCTCTGATCACCAGCGCAAGGACGCACTTAAACTGGAGCACCCACACTGACACACATCTCAAAGAACCCTGGTAACTACACAAGGTTAATCTCTTTATTGGGATTATTAAAACATTGTAGCAAGTTAACTGAATGAGCATAATTCCCATCCATAACAAAGTTTAAAAAATACAAAATATTTTTGAACAAAACATTTCATTTTGAAATCTACAACAATAGAAATTCATTATATTTATATAAATAAATAAACTGATTTATTTGGAAGTAGTATTTGCTGACCTGAAGAAATGTTGACATCTATAATGTTTACTATAAAGGTATGCTAATGGTGGCAACAATAGCAACAACAAAAATTACATTTGAAATTCAGTCTTTTCAATACAGATAAGATTATAAGGTCATAAGCAATATTGCATTTCCCAATGGGAGCCAGTTGGCAATATATACCATTATATACCAATATATACCAAGGGAGGTGGTGGAATCTCCCTCTCTGGAGATATTTAAGAACAGGTTAGATAGACATCTGTCAGGGATGGTGTAGGTGGAGCTTGGTCCTGCCTTGAGGGCGGGGGGCTGGACTCAATGACCTCTTAAGGTCCCTTCCAGTCCTATTATTCTATGATTCTATGATATACACTACAAAACCAGCTAAATGTATAAACCTTTTTAATGGATGATCAGAATTTTGATAGGAAAAACTCTGGACTTTTTAAAAGTATTTTTCAGTTTTCATTCCCTGCTTGCTATAGAAATAATGACTTCTGTCATTTTATTCTTTAACCTCCACTTCTAAGTCAGTCCATATTGCTTAAGCAATTTGAAGTGATGACTTTAATACCTGACATGCTTTCTTTCCCCATCATGTATTATCACTTGTGTTACTGTAAACAAAGCATTTGAGCTCATAGGTCCTCTTTGTATATTTGCTCTGTTCCCAACCCAAAGTTTTATCAACTAGGAGAGGCAAAGAACATTTACTATTTTTAAGGTGATGGGATTCTTGTAAACCAGGTATCACTATATTGCAAAGTGAAGTCTTAGGATTCTGATGTTTCAAACACTTGATTTTTCTAGCTGATATTCTTGCTGGTTGGTATAGAAACAATTTAATCTTCACAGCGATTAAATCTTTTCACTTGGTAGTTATCAGTCTACCCATTTAAAGCAGTTATACCTTTAACCTTATCTCAGTTTTGTAAAAGTAAAATAATTTAGATTTTTCTTCACAGCTTCTGAAAAAGCTAAATTAAAGAGAGAGAAGGCACATGCTATGGAAGCCAAGAAAAAAGAGAGAGAAGATAAGGAGAAAAAGAGAGAGGAACTGAAAAAGATTGTGGAAGAAGAAAGGATGAAGAAAAAAGAAGAGAAAGAAAGACTCAAGATGGAAAAAGAAAAGGTAATACAATTGCAGTATATGAAAGTTTGATGCGATACCTCTGAATCCCACAGATAGAAAGGCTAATGAGCATTTGTGCACTCGGGCAGTGTCAGATACATGTACCTGCAGAACATGTAGGAGAAGGAAAGCATCAAAAAAGTGAGGCTTACAGCTGAGCAGGAGGGGAGTTTCTCCTAGAGGAGAGTAGGGCCTACCAGTGAGTTTCAGGAGCAAGGGGAGCCCACCTCGGAGCAGTGTGGCTAGCCATCTTTCCAAATGCCTGGTAGGGGATGGATGGACTCTGCGGTTCTGATGTGGGCAAGAGGAGCTGTCGGCTAACAATCTGGGTAGCATCATCATGAACTAGAGGTAATTGGACTCAAAAAGGACACCCATGAATGAGCTGAACTCCTGCAGGGAACAGTGAGATTGTCCTGGAGTTGGGAGCTCTCATGGGGGACCCAAGGGTAAGAGATTGAAAGAGGCTATGGGTGAGCATAGTCTGAGGGTAATGTTATCACTGTATGATATGTAGGAAAAACATAGTGGTTTTCTATTTCCTAGGTTACTTGGTTTTTAATGATAGCTAAGTGTATAAAATTAACTTTATAAAGTATTTGGCCTCTTCCCACACAGAATTGTGGGGACAATTAGAGGTTAATTTAGAACTTGCTGTTAAAGGGTTTATCACAAAAATTTTGCTGCTGTTATTGCATGGTGGTATCTGAGTTCAGAATTTCCTATTTCAATGAGAATTCATGGTATTTCAGATATCACAGTCTTACTTATTTATTTACAAATGTTGATTAGTTTGGGTTTTTATGGGAATTGCCATACGTCTTCCTGAATATGTCATTAGCCATCTTCTCATTGGATTACTCTGATAACTTAAAACGAGGCCTACGTTGAGAAAATTTTAGTATATTTTTGCAAGAACTACTTCTTAATATAAGAACAAATGTGGCTGTGTTACCCATCTTACTATCTTCCCTTAAGGCAAAAGTTTTTTGTATTTTAAGGGTATGTCTTACTGTATTTTAAGGGTATGTCTAGACTACATGGCTCTAGTCTGGACGCTCTGCGGTCGACATCAAAGGCATTTGTCGACCACCCCGGTCAACCTCATCCCACGAGACATAACGGGGCAGTCGACAAATGCCTTTGATGTCAACCGTGGAGCGTCCAGACTAGCGCGCTGAGCTGACAAACAGCTGATTGGCTCCTTTAATTTTTAAATGAAGCGGTGATTATTTAAATCGCCGCTTCATTTGGGTATGTCTAGTAAACTAATCTACATGGCTCTGGTGACAGAGCCATGTAGTCTAGACATACCCTAAGTGTTGGAGTCCATGTCCTGATCCAGAGATTTATGTCAATAAGTATCACTTGGAAAATAATTTTTTTGATGCAATATGTGCATTAAAAATTCAGAAGATACTTATCAACCTTTGTATTTTGGCTATTAGCTTCCACAAAAGATCTCTTATTATACATAGTCAGTAGCTTGATTCCTTTGTGGGGAAACAGAAGACCAATGCATCACTGTTTTTTGTTTTTTTTTTACTTTTAAAATTTTGGTTAAGAACCTCATTGTATGGAATGAAAACATACAGTAGATTTCTGATAATCCGGCACTTTTGGGATCCAGGTGGTGCCGGATTATCGGATATGCTGGACTATTGGGAGGTACTCTGGCGGGGGCACTGTGACGGGTCTGCTGGGACCTGCACTGCCTCTGGCAGAGGTGAAAGGGCGGGGACTCAGTGGGGAACAACGCGACGAGGGCCAAACCCTCTACCATTTTGCGGCAGCAGAGAGGGGGCGAGAGGTAGGCAGCTGCTTCAAGAAGTTGTTAGTCAATTACACTACCACCACTCTTTTGATCCTGGACTATCGGGAGTCTACTGGTAAAAGCAGCAGGGAGGGGAGAAGATCTCTTGTCAGTTTCAGCAGCTGCCTGTCACCTGCAGCTCCACCCGTTCTCGGCCCTCCTTCCCCCGCTGGAGGCAGTAGAGGAAAGATAAATTGCGAGCCTGTCACCTGCGGATCCAGCCGGCAGTAGTGTAATTGACTAACAACTTCTTGAAGCAGCTGCCTGCTTCTGGCCCCCTCTCTGCCGTCGCCATTCCGTTCCCCGCCCCGCCAAAGGCAGTAGAGGAAAGATAAATTGCAAGCCTGTCACCTGCAGATCCACCCAGCGGTAGTTTAATTGACTAACAACTTCTTGAAGCAGCTGCCGGAGCACTTCCAGGTTCCAGTTGGTGCTGGACTATTGGGAGTGCCGGACCACTGGATGCTGGACAATTGGAGTTTTACTATACTTTGCTCTGTCCTTACTGTTCTATCCTAAATACTTAGAATCATAGCAAAGTAGGACTGGAAGGAACCTCAAGAAATCAAGCCCAGCCTTCTGTGGCAGGATCTACTTCCTACATCATCCGTAGCAGTTGTTTGTCCAACCTTGTTTTTGAATGCTTCCAGTGATGTGGACTCCACATCTTTCCATAGAAGTTTATTCCAGAGCTTGCTTACTCTTACAAAAATAAAGTTCCCCCTAATATAAGAATGGCCGTACTGGGTCAGGCCAGGGATACCATTTCTGTCCCCTGGCTAATCTCTCCAGCCTCTGACAAAGAGAGGCCAAGGACACCATTTTATCCCCTGGCTAATAGCCTTTTATGGACCTAACCTCCATGAAATTATCTAGCTTCTCTTTAAACTCTGTTATAGTCCTAGCCTTCACAGCCTCCTCTGGCAAGGAGTTCCACAGGTTGACTACATGCTGTGTGAAGAAGAACTTTCTTTTATTAGTTTTAAACCTGCTACCCATTAATTTCATTTGGTGTCCTCTAGTTCTTCTATTATGGGAACTAATAAATAACTTTTCTTTATCAGCCCTCTCCACACCACTCATGATTTTATAGACCTCTATCATATCCCCCCTCAGTCTCCTCTTTTCTAAACTGAAAAGTCCCAGTCTCTTTAGCCTCTCCTCATATGGGACCCGTTCCAAACCCCTAATCATTTTAGTTGCCCTTTTCTGAACCTTTTCTAAGGCCAAAATATCTTTTTTGAGGTGAGGAGACCACATCTGTACACAGTATTCAAGATGTGGGCGTACCATAGTTTTATACAGGGGCAGTAAGATATTCTGGGTCTTATTTTCTGTCACTTTCTTAATAATTCCTAGCATCCTATTTGCCTCTTTGACCGCCGCTGCAGACTGTGTGGAAGTTTTCAGAGAACTATCAATGATAACGCCACAATCTCTTTCCTGATTTGTTGTAGCCAAATTAGCCCCCATCATACTGTACGTATAATTGGGGTTATTTTTTCCAATGTTTGTTGCCCAATCAATCAATATCTAACCTAAATCTCCCTTGTTGGAGATTAAGCCAATTCCTTCTTATCTTACCTTCAGTTTACATGGATAACAATTGAGCGTGGTCCTGTTTGTAACAGCCCTTAACACATCAGAAGACTGTTAATCAGGTCACCCTTCAGTCTTATTTTCTCAAGAGTAAACATGCCCAGGTTTGTGGGTTTTTTTTTTTTTTTTTCCCTCCAACCTTCTTTCATAGATCAGGCTTTCCAAATTGTCCACCCTTCCTAAATTGCAGTGCCCAGAACTGGATGTGATATTCTAGCTGGAGTTTCACCAGTACCGAGTATAGTGGGACCGTTATCTACTGTGTTGTACATATAACACTCGTGTTAATGCACCCCAGAATTCTGTTAGCTTTTTTGCAGCAACATCACATTGATGACTTGTATTCAGTTTGTGGTTCACTGTAACCCCAGATCCCCTTCAGCAATGATACCAGATAGCCAGTTACTTCCCATTTTGTAATTGTGCATTTGATCTTTTCTTTTCTTAAGTGTAGTAATTTGGACTTGAATTTTATCTTGTTGAATTCAGATCAGTTCTCCAACCTGTCAAAGTAATTATGAATTTTAAACCTGCCCTTCAAAGTGCTTGTAATCCCTCTCAGTTTGGTGTCATCTGCAGCTTTTATAAGCATACTTTCTACTCCATTATCCAAGTCAATATTGAAAATTGAGTTACCTCTTTGAGTACCATTTTACTAAGTAATTAACTTTGGTCAGTTTCATTAAGATACAGAGAATAGTAATAAAATATAACTGATTTCATATCTAATTCTAAAGGTTTCAATTTCAGGAAAGAGAGAAATTACGTGAAGAAAAAAGGAAGTATCTGGAATACCTGAAACAGTGGAGTAAACCTAGAGAAGACATGGAATGTGATGATCTTAAGGTATAAAGTGATTGGTAATTTTAGGGTAACTTCTCTATGCAGCTCATGAACCACAATCCTGATCTGAAACAGCTTTTCTATTGAAATATTGCCTAACTTGTACTTACGGTGTGCGTACATGAAGTTGGAGGCCTGAACTTTTTTGTTTTGTTTTATGTTTTTTTTGTTTAAACTGAGATGTAAGTAGAGATTTGACTTCGGGTCTTCAGATGCAAAAGACTAGTGCACTTACCTTTTGGAACAACTCTCCCAGCTACTTCTGTTTTTCTGAAAATTGAATCTTGAGAAACTTGTCTGGCCATTTTATCCAGATTAGGTACAACACTTTGGTGGGAGTTCTTGCCATTTTTAATAGTTTTTCAAAGATAGGTGCTGAGATGTTAAAGTGCACTTGCTGTGTTCAAAGATACTCAGATTTGCCCATTCCCAATCTTACGAATGCTTTAGATACTGTGGAAAAAAACAGCAAGCAAATGGTCTGGTAGCACTTTATAGATTAATAAAACATGTAGATGGTCCCATTAGCTTTTGTGGGCACAGCCCACTTCACCACAGATGCTGTGGTTTTCTTGCCTATCACTTATTACAGGTCTCTGAATTATGTCTGATGGCTTTCTCTTCAGTTTGAAATGAACAACTGCTTAATAGCATTTATAGGCCAGAGTGGCTGAGTGGATCCTTACTAGACCTATCTGCTGAAACTGTTCAGCCATTGAAATGTTTGGAGGACTGTTCTGCTTGGGGAAAATAAGATATTTACCTAAGTTGGAAATCTATCCTTTATATTACATTTCTGCACAAGTGTTAATTTAACTGTAGGCCTTTAAGTTGAAGGATCCCTTCAATGTCAAGAGATTGTGTTGTGAACAGTTAAATAGCAAGGCTTCATTAAACAACCGGCAAACAGAAGAGCACTGAGAGGCACTTCTAAAAGCACTCTTAGGGCTTGTTTACACTATGAAATAAACTCAACTCTATTATGATCGAGTTCTGGGGCTCCCAATGTTGAGAAAGCAAAGGGCCATGTACCCACTATGGGCTGGATTCAAATGTTCTCCAAGATAGCGCATTCACATTGCCAGAGCCTACCTTGGACTCAGAGAGCAAGGAAGCACCATGGGGACTGTGGCAGGCCAGTCTATGCTTCCAGTGTCCGCTGGGTTAAAAAAGCAGCTGCAGGTATGTACAGGGGCTCCTCTTGGCCACATCCCAAAAGGCACTCCTTTACTCCTTCCCCCCCTGCATGACATAAATGGGCTGCATTTGGCATACCTCTTTTTGTACCCTGGTTGTGTGTGTGAATACCAGAGCATGGAGTCTGAGCTGCTGCACAAAAGCTCATGGTTCTTGTGTTTTGCGTCATGGCACACAACTACCACAGTGCCCACATGTTGCTCCACCAGCAACAAGACCAGGAGCAGGAGGATGAGGAGGACAAGGAGGAGGATGAACCTTGGTGTGGCCTGCAGGCCCTGCTCAGGCAAGTCCTGACGCTTATACTGCTGTGCATGTCACTCAGTCCCTTGGACACAGTGGAACGCCGCTTCTGGCGTTGGGAGATGAGCTCAGATTGGTGGGACTGCATCATCATGCAGGGATGGAACGATCAACAATTGCTGCAGAATTTTTGCATGTGCAAGGCCGTGTTCCTGGAACTTTGCAAATGGCTTACCCCCTGGGATGACAGGATAGGATACCTGCATGAGACCCTTTCTCACCTTGCAGAAGTGCATGGCGGTTGCCCTCTGGAAGCTTGCCACGCCAGAGAGCTACTGCTCATTTGGAAATCAGTTTGGGGTGGGGAAATCCACAGTCGGGGCTGTGCTCATACATCCTGCTGTGGAGGATCATGGTTCTGGGGGACGTGGACAGTAGTGTGGACTGTTTTGCCGCCATGGGCTTTCCTAACTGCAGGGGGCCATAGATGGAACACACATCCCCATCCTGGCTACCGAACGCCATGCTGCAGAGTATATCACCGCAAGGGGTACCTCTCCATGGTGCTGCAGGCGCTTATGGATCACAAGGGACACTTAACCAACATCAATGTGGGCTGACTGGGAAAAGTACACAATGGTGCATTTTTTGGAACTCCTGCTTCTTCCCAAAAGAAGCATGCTGGCACTTTTTTCCCAGATCGGACAATAAGAGTCTGAGAGGTGGACAAGTCCATTGTGATCCTAAGCGACCTAGCCTATTCCTTGCTCCTGTGGCTCATGAAGCCCTATGCAGGCAGCCTGGATCTCAGTAAGGATGTATTCAATAATAGTCTGAACAGCTGCAGAATGGTGGTGGAATGTGCATTTAGACATTCAAAGGGAAGGTTCAGGAGTCTCGTGACTCACCTAGACTTGAGCAAGTGCAACATCCCCTTCATGATGGCACCATGTCATATGCTCCAGAACCTGTGCAAAAATAAGTGAGGAAACCTTTGTGCCAAGGTGGGGAGTTGAGGCAGAGCACCTGGCCAGGGAGATTGAGCAGCCAGACACCAGCTTCACAGCAAGGAGAGCACAGCAAGGGGCAGTGCCAATCAGAGTGGCCTATCTGGGAAAGATGCACGACTGTTAAATATAAACGATTTTAAAAAAGGGGAGGGGACAGCATTTTTCTTCTGCATTGTAAAGTTTCAAAGTTGTGTTAGTTCGCTCAACTCTGAACTTTTGAAAGAATAACCATAATGTTTTGATAAGAGTTAAAAAACTTTTGAAAGAACAACCATAATGTTTTGATAAGAGTTAAACAACCTCTATTTCTGGGTTTTCATAACTCTGAGGTTTAATTGTACGACAAATGCTGAACTCATACTAATTCACTACACTTGCCCTGGCCATTCTGCTTTGGTTTTATATTTTTTGTAAGTCTTACTGAGTATTCTAAGAGCGATATTTTTATTTTATTTTTTTGTCGGTCTGGACAGTTTAGCAAATTGAACTGTTATAAAATCTTTGAGGACGGTTTGAAGGGGAGAAACTAGCAACTGGAGTTCTTGGAATAACTAATTCTTATTCACTCTCGAGTTTAGAACAAGAGACTAAAGTACACTCATATTCATTAGTTTAGCTAAGTTATACATTTAAGGGTTTACTTTTGAGCTATATACACATTTGATTGCTCTAACTTTTAACAACTATCCTATTACAGATCTTGCAGTACTCTAGTTATTACCAATATTTAAGTCAGGTGTATAAAGGACTTACTGATGCCAAATTTATACCATGCACCTTAATGAGAACAAACTTTGTGTGTCTTAAGTACTTGCGTGGTCTGCTGAAATACAATTAAATATTCAGTTGTTTCCTTTGTGTTTCAGGAACTTCCGGTTCCAATTCCAGTTAAGACGAGACTGCCTCCTGAAATCTTTGGTGATGCTCTGATGGTCTTAGAATTCCTTCATGCCTTTGGGGAACTCTTTGATCTTCAAGATGAGTTTCCAGAAGGAGTTACTCTAGGCAAGTTATCATTTGGTGATATACTTTAATTCACACTGTTCTCCTATATGTCTCAGATGTGTGTATTGATGAAAGTTTCAGAATTTCAGTTTACATTTAAAATGAACTATTATTATGTGTCCCACTCTCCGTTTAGTTTTCACATTCATCTTGAAATGGGAGCTCTGAAACGCAGATGATTTCCAATACAGTAGGGTTTAGTCTGCTGTTTTATAAATAATATTTTTTGGAATTCTTAGATGTACACTTTTGTATTAATGTGAACAAATGGGCATTTTTTGTCAACACTTCCCTTCTCAAGCAACCCCTAAAATATATTCTTCTAACACAGTAATTTATTATAAACCTACTTGACCGTTTAAACCTACTATGGAACAAATGTTTTTAATTCTTCACTCCATATTTGGTCTTATAATACTGTGACAAAAGTGACACCTCTTAAATTTTACTCCCAGAAGTGTTAGAAGAAGCTCTTGCAGGAAATGACACTGAAGGCCCACTATGTGAATTGCTCTTTTTCTTTCTGACTGCCATTTTTCAAGCAATGGCTGAAGAGGAAGAAGAAGTGGCCAAAGATCAAATAGCTGATGCTGAGACCAAAGGTCAGACCTCAACTTTACTATTAAACTGAAATTCCAATATAATTAACCTTAAAACTAAATTGCATATACTTTGTTATATTAGCATTTCTTATTATGCATGGCAAGGTATAAAAGTATATTTTGTAGGGTTATGTGTGTGTGTGTGTGTTTTTTAATGCAACTATGGGGAGGAGGAAAGGCAAGCTTTTCACATAAAAAAGCCATTCTCTCCTGAGTCTTTTTACTAGCCTTCATCTGTAGTTGTGAGGTATCCTTGACACAATCCTGATTTCCTGCCCCCTGTCCTCTCTCCCAAAATTAGAAAGCCAAATACTATTCTCTAGCTATAACTGGGAATTAGTATTCATTTTCTTTGACAGCAAGTCCTAAATATGCATGCATACGTCTGTATATAAAATGGCCACCATTTCCCTATTAGGAAGATACTTCATAGCTTGATTTAGCCACTGTTGTCTCTGGGCTCAACTCTCGGGTAGTAGCAGCAATCTTTAAAGACGCATACAGTGTCCTTTGAAAATGTATCTTGTAACTACAGGCATCAGAACAAAGTTCTTGTTTTAAGCTGTCAACAAGTTCTATATACAAATTTTCATTTCTGAAAGTTTCAGTTTTGAATTTTCATGCACTGAAACAATGCTGTATGTTTGGGGACACTAAGATAGACTCTGTCCATCCTTGAATTCACAGAGAGGGCTTCCGAATCTGGACAGTCATGCAAATGTTACAATCTAATCAGACTGCTTTAATTTTTCTACCAGAGAGGTTTAAATTAAAACTGTTTTATGGGGATAAAAAAGAAGAATTAGACATATATTGACCATGTCCGTTTAATATTTGATAGTGCTATGTTATCATATTTTTTAAATGGCGAGATGAAGAAAATTGTAAAAGCTGCTTTGAAAGACGAAATAACTTCTAGTCTCTAAGGAATAGAGTTCTTTGCAGGGAAAGCATAACAAGGCTACATCTAAACTACAAAGATTTTTCGAAAGAGGATATGCAAGTTCCATGGGGATTTGCATATCTTCTCCCGATCGCATTTTCGAACCACGGAATTTGCATTATCCTCTTTCGAAAAATATTTGTAGTTTAGATGTGCCCCAACACTCTGGGAATAATTCAGTTCACAGTAATTGCAAACTTGACACATTCTTTTCATTGTTGATATTTTATTACCAGTTATTGACCAACCTGCAGTATTACTCTTTCTCCCTCCCTGCACTCCTCTAAAGGGAAAAAAATCAAAACCAAAACCCACAATTTAAAATAGAGTGCAATTTAGGGATTACATTTTGACAAAGCTCTTTTGAATTGCTACAATTTTATTAGTGGGTATTGGTGCTTCTAATTTTAGGAGGGTTTTTTTTTTTTTTTTTTTTTGCATGTGTGGGTTTTTTTCTGGATCAGAAGCAGTTTTTCTGTTTAACTTTGGATGGATGGGATCAATAAGATTCCTTTTGCTGTGTCAGAAAGAATCCCAAATGGTCCAAATTGTCAAATGACAAATTGCAGAAACCTGTATTACAGGGAGGAAAATCTCCTTGTATCTTCTTTGGTCCTGTAAGTTTTTTTTTTTTTATTGACAAAACCTACAGTACTTGGTGTAGGATTTTAAAATAATAAACTGAAGTATTTATTGTGCTGTAAAACCCCCTTTTAACAGAGAACTCCTTCTAGTTTGTGAGCTTCCAGGAATGTGTTAATAGAAGACACCTGGATCAGTAAATCACCTGTAATGATACCAGCTACTGAAATGAGAGATATCAGAGGTCCACTGCCACAGAAGGCACTGGGCCTCCCCAGAGCTTCTTAGTGTAGATGGGGAGAGCAACTATTGCCCTGCTCATGAAGCAGGATTCAGTATGTGTACTCCTTTTGGCCTTCCAAACTTATTGACTAATAGGGAGGAGAAACCATTGCCTTGCTTCCCCAGAGTTGGGTATTATTTTCTCTACTTAATTCTTTAGTACAAGTGAGAACAGTGACTGTGGGTATCCCTGGCTCCTATGCGTCAGATATAAGACGGAGAGGAAGACTGACTCTTACCCCTTGCTCGCCCATTCAACAAATCAGTTATAGTTTAGTCCTTAATATGTAGTCCTAGTCTGCCAAGTGACTGTATATTAAAAATGGCATAATCTGAAGAAATAGAGCGTGCTCCTTTTGTGTATTTAGAGTCTTGCAGCTGGTCTCTTATGGGTGTACAGAATCTAGCACATTTGGATGCTATTTTAATAAAACTAACTGCTTATTTTACTGAATAAACTGCATTTTTAACGCCTGGTAGCAATGTAGTGCCAACACATTTAAACATGAATGAGATGGATTCTGTTGTCTCCTGCATCAACAGAATACAGGCAGTCCCCGGGTTACGTACAAGATAAGAACAAACCTACAGTCCCTAAGTTGAATTTGTATGTAAGTCAGAACTGGTACATATTGTAAGGGAAACTCTAGCCAAACATTTCTCCAGAGCTCAGTTTTATTCTCCCACACTTCACTTCCCTCAGTCCTTTATTCTCAAGCTGAGGTGTCTGCTGAGAAAAGCCGCTCCGTGTCTCCCTGGTCTGCTGGGGGGGGGGGGGGGGGCGCTAGCTTCGCGTCTCCCTGGTCTGCTGGGGGGAAGCAGCTAGTGCGGGGTTGCCTCACATCGGATCCCTACTTACAAACGGGGTAAGTCGGATCCATGTAACCCGGGGACTGCCTGTAATTAACTTTCATTATTGTTGATAATGTGTAAAATGGAAAGAATCCAACTTGAGATTGCAGTTGAGTTTTGCAGGGCTTGAATATTTGAAAATCATCATCTTACTTCTAGTTGGTCGCTCATTGTGGGACTGCAAATAGTGCTACTTTTTACTGCTACTTTCATTTGGAGGCTGTGGACTTTCATGTCTTGCTGCTCTTGTTCAGACAATTTCTCTTTCTTTCATGGAAAAATTAGATATTCTTATACAGTTTCTCCTCTGCTTTATTAGCCAGGCAGATTTTTAGCAGTACAGTTTGTTCCGGTTTTAAAAATGTGTTAAGAGTTGAAAAACAGGCAACTCTTAAAGAGAAAACATACAGGAAAAGTGGGTTTTTGTTTCTAAATTGGAATTTTATGTAAGATATGCGAATGTGCAAAAGTGATCTCAATGTCCACTTTGCAATATCCAGATAAAACTTTCAGGCAACATTGATCATGATGCAAGAATGTTTATTATTTAATAATTGTAAACCCGCTATTTACATATTCTCATTCAGTTTGGACCTATAGCTCCTTTCCCTGTTAACTTGGTGGCCGTAACACTTCATAATGACTTGGACCTGAATAGGGTAAAGTTGTTGAAATAGTGTGCAAGACTGACCAAACTCTGTCAATCCTCTGGAGAACTACCTGTAAGTGCCAAGGAAACTTTGTTTAAGAAGAGGGAATTCAGTTTGCTTTCCAATGGATGAGCTGCTTTTGCTGCTGCTGTATAATATTTGTTTACATCTGGCTTGTTTTTATTTAATTACCACTCTTCTTATACTTGTGTGGAATGTGTAAGTTTTTATATAAAACTCAGATTTTTAAAAAAGATGATGAATGCTATCATCTCAAGTGCTTCAATTTTTTTTTTTTGGATAGTTATTCAGAAAGCCAAAATTGTAATAAAATAATTTAAATTGCAGGAATGTGGAGGGTAGGATGGAATTTGTGCATTTTTTGTCTTTCAAGTATATTCCCTGGTATTCCATTCCCTTCCCTGTGTCTGTGCATGTTTGCCTAGTGTCAGTGCTTTAGCAACTTTAGTCGTTTGTTGCATTGTGTGAGAACGGCTTTTAGTGAGTGTTGCATGTCCTTAGTGTCTATACTGCTTTGGTGGACGTAGGCAGTGTATATTATAACTTTGATAGCTGAACTAAATCTTGAATACAATGAAGCTTTTGTGAATGTCAAGCCATAGTCTTTGTGTCTGCACTGTTTTAAAAGGCCTTTTCTTTCTTCCCCTAAAAATCCAAGTTTTAATTTGCACTAGAATAAAGTGTTTATTTCCTTAAAGATTTAACAGAGGCTTTGGATGAAGATGCAGACCCCACAAAATCTGCACTGTTTGCAGTTGCAACTTTGGCAGCTGCATGGCCCCAGTTACATCAGGGTATGTGTGGGTTTTATTTTTTTGTTTTGTTTCATTTATGTATTACCTTGCTCTGTATTTTTTAAAAAGCACATTTTTACATTACTTCGTATATTGTTGGTCTTGATGTAAAATAACTTCTTACTGTTATTAACTGTAGGCTGCAATTTGAAAAATTTGGATCTCGACAGCTGCACTCTTTCTGAGATTCTCAGACTTCACATCTTAGCATCAGGCGCTGATGTAACATCAGCAAATGCAAAGTACCGTTACCAAAAACGAGGAGGTTTTGATGCGACAGATGATGCTTGCATGGAGCTGAGATTGAGTAATCCTGGGCTGTTGAAGAAACTCTCAAGTACTTCGGTGTATGACTTATCACCAGGTAATAAACCAAAATGAATGCTGTGTTTTACGGTTCAAGCCAATCTCAAGGTGACCGATATCAAATTTAGTCCCATGGCCAAAAGTTATTTAATAACCATTTGTCCTGTGTAAAACAAATTGGCAGTCTCACTTCAGTTTGTCGATACCTATTACCTCAGCTGGAACCCTTATTGGTGCTCTCACTGAGAGGTCAAGGGTTGCATGGGTGTGGAAATAAAATTTCCTTTCCATTCCTACAGGTATTCCTTTCAGGTCAGAGTTCAGATGGGGACATGGCTGGGCAATTTATGTTGCTGCTGCCTATTGTAGAGGACTGTCCCCTCTGGGATTGTCACTTTTTACTTACAATGTCTATATTACTAAGTATTCAAACTTCATTGGCCCTAAACATTTTTTTAAAGCTAACTTTTTTGTTTCTAAAACATCTCAGGATGTTGGACACATAGATAACCCTTTTCCTGCTGCTGGGCTCTGAAGGAATCTTTGCTTTGTTCGTGGTGATTTATGCAAATAAATCACTCAGCTTCCCAGTTAAACAATGGGGCACGTGATGAAGACTCAGTATTTGGTTTTTTTTCCACCAAATAAATTGAAGTTTTGCATTCTCTGTACTATATTTCTCAGCTGCAAGTTATTATTGACAATAATAGAAGTGCCTATTTCAAGAAATTCCTTTTTGTGTAGTGTCATTTGCCTCATTTTACATATTCTGTGTGCATTAATGCCCTCGCTTGGATGTAAATCTAAGTGTTTTTTGGCTGGGTCAGCTTATGTGTTTCAAAACCTCTTGCTCCTACCCTCTGCAGCATATAGCATTCTTTGGGAGACTGCATTAAGGGCATGGCTTTGTGGAGGAGAGAAATAAAAAGAATACAGTTGCTAAATAACTACAGTCCATCAAATGAACTCTATTCAGATTTGGAAGCAGCTTGATTTATTTGGCAGAAAGAGCTACTCATCCACCACTATACAGCTCCGGACAGTGAACTATGCTGCTGTGTTAGCAGTATACATTCAACATTTTTACACAAATGTCCACCTTTATTGACCACCTGCCTGACGACAAGAAAGAACAATACAAGGCCAATATAAAGAAGAGTTCCCTCCTCACCTGCACAGTGAGCC